ACCTTATTGAAATGATCATTTTTGTATTCACCTCCATTGTCTGTGCAAATACACTTGATCCTCTTGCCTATTTGATTCTCCACCATCGTCTTCCATTTGAGAAAAATTCCCAATACTTCATCTTTGCTCTTCATTGTATATACTCACACTCTTCGGAAAAAATCATCAACAAAGGTTACAAAATAGTGCCTCCCACCCAATGAAGGTGTTTTGGAAGGACCCCAAACATCAGAGTGTACATAATCCAAAATGCCTTTAGTATTATGGATCGCTGTACCAAATTTAACCCTTGTCTGTTTCCCTTTAACACAATGCTCACAAAACTCCAAGTTGCAAGCCTTTACTCCTTTTAACAATCCTTGATCTGATAGAGTTTTCAAGGATTTTCCTCCAGCATGTCCCAAGCGCATGTGCCATAGCTTGGTTGCTTCTGCCTCTTTGTCGTCACTGGATGTTACTGTCGCTGTCCCAATAACTGTACTGCCACGATAGCGGTACATATTATTATTCTTCCGATTAGCCTTCATTACCACTAGTGCACCGGAGCATACTCTCATCACTCCATTTTCTGCAATGATTTTGAACCCTTTTGATTCTAGGGCTCCCACAGAGATGAGATTCTTCTTCAAATCCGGTACATATCGAACATCTATCAATGTTCTGATCATTCCATCATGGTTCCTTAATCGTATTGAACCAATGCCATATGAGGTAAGAGGGCTGTTATCCGCTGTGTGGATGACTCCATATTCTCCTTCTTGAAATTCCACGAACCAGTCCCTGTTGGGACACATATGATAGCTACAAGCCGAGTCCATCAACCATATGTCTGATGATGTTGATGACTCTGTTGTAACTAATGAGAAGTCTGAATCATCACAATCAGCTACATTTGAATCCATAATGGCCTTTCCATTGTTATGTTTGGCCTTATTCTTCAACTTCGGACAGTCTTTCTTCCAGTGCCCTTTTTCTCGACAAAAGGCACATTCATCTTTGCTGGGTCTGGATCTTGACTTGGATCTTCCCTTCTTTGTCCTCGTTTGATTTTGAGGACGACCCCTCACAAATAGTGCTTCTCCTTCTCCGCCCTTCTGTTTTTCTCGCTTTCTTTGTTCATAGCTGTACAAAGCCGAACAAACTTCTCTGAGAGAAATTTCGTCATTTCCATGGAGTAGAGTAGTTTCAAGGTGCTCGTACTCATCAGGAAGTGACGCCAACAACATTAAGGCCAAGTCACCATCATCATAAGTTGTATCCATATTTTGCAAATCTGTGACCAACTTATTGAAACTGGTGATATGTTCATTCATCGTGGTACCAGGAACATAGGTGAAGTGAAACAGTCTCTTCTTCATGTACAATTTATTTTGACTGTTTTTCTTCAAAAATTTATCCTCCAGTGCTTTCCATAATTTACTTGCAGAAGTTTCCTTTGTGTATGGATATTTCTGCTCTCTAGCAAGGTAGGATCGAATGGTACCGCAAGCAACACGGTTGATAATTCTCCAATCTTCTTCTCCAATAACATCTGGTTTCTTTTCTTCAATGGCCAGATCTAGCCCTTGTTGAAAAAGGACATCTAGAACCTCGCCTTGCCACATCCCAAAATGTCCGGACCCGTCAAATATTTCTACCGCAAATTTCGCATTTGACACAATTCTTGTCATAAGCGAAGATGCCAATGATGACGTATTGTTGACACTTGATGTAGATTCTTCTTGTTTATTGTCTCCCATATTTGACACAAATATTATTTAATAGCTGACGACACAAATCAAGATTATTTCCTTTCTGATGTAGAAGATCAGACTAAGCTGCAACCACAGAGCATACTCAGACAGAACCTTGACTCAGTTACCAAGATAAATCTTTTCTGATGTGGAAGATCAGACTATGCTGCAACCACAGAGCATACTTAGACAGTACCTTGGCTCTGATACCAATTGTTGCGGAAGCCAAATGTATATAATGTGAATGAGTCACAACTACTATACCAAAAATTATGACAGCCACCAAATAATAAATAAGACAATAAAACAACAATAAAAGGAACACCGGAATTTACGAGGTTCGGCCAATTTTGCCTACTTCCTCGGACACAACCAATAATTTATTCCACTCCAAAATACAAGTGAAATAATATTAAAGAAAGAAGATACAAATGCCTTAAGAATATAAGAAGGCAAATGAAAGGTGTATTTAAATCCTAAACATTAGGCCTCCTTTTATAGGAAAATACTTTCCCCCAAATGAATTCATCCACCGATGTGGGACAATTTCTTTTGTCAATCAACAAAAACCATAATTAGTTTGGTTTGGTTTTAACTAAAAAAGTGAAACCGAAACCAAACCAACCCGATAATATAATTATACAGTTTTTAATAATATTTTATACATAACAAAGATAGCAACAATTTGTTATCGTATTTTTACTTCTCTAGATCAACAATTTTTATCACACACAAGTATTCCGACACCGCGATTTTCAAAAAACAAAAACATATATATCTTTTCAGGTTTCATACCCCCAGGTTGATAATTTCTCTCAGGTAGTCTGATTCCGGTTCCTTCACTCACACATGCACACAAAACTAAATTACAGTATTAATTAATTTATAAAGGAAGTCAGCTGAATGTAGGTTCCTTAAAATTTGGAACAGTGTTTCAGTTTGAAAAGACAAGGAAGTGTTAAATGTTCTCAGCGTCGCAAGGAGCTTTTCCAAATTGCTGATGGCATTGATTCTCACCCGCATACAAGGATTGAACATTTTATCAATTTGCTATATATGTGCATTCTCCTTTCAGCTTCAGGAACACCAAAATGAAGGTCATTCTAAACAACTCTCTTCTGCAACTACAGTCTCAATCCACTAAAACATTAAACTGAACAAGAAAACCACTTTAGAATATATATATATATATATATATATATATATATATGCACATCTTCATATTCGCTAGTTTCTTTTCTCATGTATTCTGTCCTTCGACATACCAGATGTTTGATGTTGTACCCTTGAAAATAGATTTGGCACAGAACCATTTATCTTGACTGATGGTTTGTGTCTTCCCTTTACAAAAGCTGACTCGGCCACGTCAATGGCTCGGCACAAACCGGCTACTTTATTCTCACATTCTATCTGTTCCTCGTCAGGATTACTATCAGCCACAATTCCAGCCCCAGATTGGAGATGAGCAACCCATTCCTGACGCTTGCTGGCATCTGTATATGAATACATTGTGTCGTAACGAGCTCCATTGAGGAATACCATCGTCCTTAGAGCTAGTGCAATGTCCATATCCCCTGAAAAGGAAATGCCTCCAAACCCACCACTGTAAGGCCCTCTCCGAGTTACTTCTAGTTGATCAATCAACTCCATGGCCTTTACCTGGATCATAGCACGATACATGAACAAAGAGCAGGACTTGAAACCTTTCTCGTGTGTACAAATTTGTTAGTTAAATATAGAAAATGAAGTTGGACTTTTCTTGTCTTTCAAAATCATGTTGATTTGCTGATAAATTGGAAATCAGTGGAACTCTTCCTCTGGTCCTCGTAGTAGGACAAACAGATATAGATCAGCTTCACTTTAAGCAAGTATCAGTGTAGAATGTAACGTCGCCTCTATATTCCCACGTTTGTTAAGAGAAGGTAATAACTTGAAACTAAAATTCCATCAACAATGAAAGACCAGCGAATTCAAAGTCAAGAATTTAACCTTTGGTGCTCCACTGACGGTCCCAACAGGCAATGCAGCTCGTAGTGCATCCCAACAGGTTAAATGATCAAGCAACTCTCCAGAGACCTGTGGTGAAGAAAATGTCATAATGTGATTCCTGTAAGTAGTCATGCTCATAAATGTCATCCAGGTACTCCAAGTAGTAGGAAGTCAGATGTTGCCTCACATGGAACAACCAAAGATCATTTTTTGGGAGATGTAATACACTGCATATTTTCTTGATTGAAAAAAGAATATTCAACACATCTTTTACCTTTGTTGACATGGAGTATTTGTTCACTATTGCCTCTAGTTGATCCTCTATAAATGCAAAGTTCTGAAGCTATGTGTGAATTTAGAGTCCACTTCTACATATCTTGGGTTACGTTTGAGCTTGTTTACTTTGTTTCAACAGCATATATGAGATGCAGGGCATCCAGGGGGGTTACCTAGTGGTTACTTAAGTTGGAGGAGAACCCTCATGTCTCAGGTTCAAATTCCAGTGGAGGCAAAAAATACTAGGTGCTTTCTTGCTACCTGCCTAAGCCTTGGGAGCAGAGTTTACCTACTACTTGTACTGATACGAAGTAGCAGGTACTCAGTGGAATAGTCGAGGTGCGCACAAGTTCGCTCAGATATCACTGTCATAAAAAATATGAGATGCATGCAGACAGGCTCCAACGCACAGGCAAATGTATTTGACACACAGGCAGTAGCTGCAACATAAGAGATAGTCACATATGAACCATCAAAGTATCATCAATTCGGAATTTCTTTTCTTTCCCTGTTGGGTCTCTTTTGTCCATGTTATTTGCATTTTCGGGAATGAGCAGAATGTAAAGGAAAATTAGAGTCCAACAAGAACATCAAAAGGCAATTTAGATTCCAGTATGACCTCGGACGAAATCAAATATGGACTCACCGTGGAGCTTATGTGCATCACATGGGAATACCGCTCGACGCTCATGAGCTTTTCAACATTCACAGAGCCAGGTTTTGACACCTATAGCAAGAAAAGGAAATATTTGGGTAACCAATGTATTTTTCAAGTGCAAGTCAAAACATATTCAGGAAACAAAAAAAGAGGCACCCAAGTTCAGTTGTTGTATTTACATGAAACAACCAACGCCGAGGGGTTCTATCACAGTTGAAAAGGGCTCTACCTGAAGTATATTGTGGAACAGAAGATACTCACACTGTCATAGAAGAGAGGTAACAACTAACAGGAAAGAATAAGGGGGACGGACATTGCATTTTGTATGGCTAGAATGTTAAAGAGTGTAGCAGAAGCAGATGATTCATGCTGCATGACACCCTCTATGTTAGCATTTCATGAAAAAAATGGGCAGAAAAAGGAAGCAGTTAATAATTTTAGTATTTCTATTTCTAATTTTTTACCAAGCAAGGCTCTCTGCCACTCATTGAACAAGATATATATTAAAGCTCTTGGTGATGCAAAAATTCTGGAATGGTCAGTAATAAACCTTTCCTACATCATTTCGTCCTAAATCAACCAGCATGATGTGCTCTGCGCATTGTTTCTCATCTTTTAACATCTGCATTTCCAACATCACATCCTCATCAGGTGTCTTCCCTCTTCTGCTTGTCCCAGCCAATGGTCGATTAACAATTCTTCTCTGTCATTGGAACAAATGATGTATATAAACATTACAAACTCTCAAAAACTAAGAAGGAATTAAAATGTGTGAACAGAAAACAAGGGAGACACTATGGACCCTGGTTCCAATATGCCGTAAGAAAAGCAGCAATGCCCAAGCTAAATCTAAGGTTAAATGTTTGAGAAGAACAAGATCATCACTGTTACCTTCTTCACACGTGTCAGAATTTCCGGGCTCGATGCAACTAAAATACAGCCTCTGGCCTGATATAGAAAAGACAACATAGTAAGTCAACTGGAGCAGGCAACCGAGATCAGATATTTACTCACAGTGAAAGAGAAGAACCGACTTGTATGTAAGTCATGTATGGGCTTGGATTCACAATTCTTAATGCTCTGTAGACTTCAAATGGGTCAGCAAATGTTCTTCTCTCAAAGCGTTGACTTAAAACAATTTGAAATATGTCTCCTGCAGCAATGTGCTCCTTTGCTTGTAAGACAGCATTCTTGTACTCCTCACTTGTCATGTTTCCCTTGGTTAATGAAGGTCCAAATGTGTGAGTACAGAAATCCACAGAACCGGGAGATAACCTTGGACTAAAGAATAAAAATAAGCTTAGATGTGGATAAGCAAATAATATTGCTGGATTGCTAGTTTTAATGCATAAAGAAAAACAAAAAAGGACTTACGACTCAATTCCTTGTACTCTGGATACTAATATTTCTAAGCGTTTCTTCCCATCAAGATATGCCTCAGGAAGAGATGAATACTGATCCAACCGCACCCAGTGAATCACATGTGCTTTCTGCGGGAACGAAAAGTTGACAGTATTAATTCCTAAGCGCCATGGAAACAGTAACAAAGAAGGCGAGGAAGAAAAGAAATCTAATGCAAATTGGTGATTCTAGAATATGAAAAACTATAAAGATGTGTCATTAATTGCTGAAAATGTTCTACATGTGCATAATAAAGGAAAACAGAGGTATGTGTTCATTCATAATGCTTAAATTGCTTGTGTTTGTATTATGTCCTAAGTGGAAAAGTAGTTAATCATACATGTGGTTCAACTTTAACACAAGCAATCATCCTGTAAAAGTTGATTCTTATATGCGCCAAGTAAATCAAGAACGTCAGATGTTAGCCTGACTTTGAAAAGGCTGGATAAGAACTAAAATGGGTAAAAGAATAAGAGACCATTCATAAGTAACACTCAAGAGCTCTTCCAACCTTTATTTGGACGAAAATACCTTCTCAACATGATCAAACACAACGACATCTTCATATAGTCCTAGTTGAATATCTGCAAGGTTCCGGTCATCCTCTGGAGCCCTTAGGAATGGTAACTTCCTGTTCTCTACATACCGAACTGTGTCATATGAGAAATAACCAACCCATCCACCTGTTAGCAACGATAACAGGAACATTGAATTAATATTTCTTCTCAGAGACATTATTAAAAATGCAGTACATTACAATAAATGGCACTATTATGTGTACTTATTATGATGCCGGTCACCTCACCACATGTAATATCCTTCTGAGAAGAATATGATTCTGAGGAACTGTATATAATAGCATCAATAGAGTACAGTTGCAGATTGGAAAATGTAAATGAGTCTTTTATCCATCATAATTATTCTTCTTTTACTTTAGGAATTAGGTGTAATATGCAAATCCTGAAAAAGAATACGCAACTCGTGCAAATTAAGCACTATACTGATATTCCCTCCTTGCAGACAACCACTGTTCCAATAAATAAATCCTAGAGAACAGGAATAAATATCATCTCTCCATATCAAAAAAATATATTTTCCTATCTCATATTTAATACCAACTTAAGCCACGTTCGTTAGAAATAATCCTCCTTTATGATTACCAAGATATCATGCCAGCAGATGTGCATGGAACTCAAGGTGTAGTAGCCTTCTCAAATATTTCATAAATTATCAAGGACAACTGAACACTGATGCAAAATGACATCAACGAGACCGTAATGAGATGGAACAGAACGGAGTGACCAATAATAATATGGAAGCTCCAAACAGAAACAGTTCATTTAAAATTATTGGAGTTGGTTGAGAATTGGGGAGTTGATTTATGGATACTGTTAGAGAACATATCCAGAAGTGCAACATTTTTTCCGCATAGATGTCATACATATCTAACTTTACTATTTAACTACTACAACAAATTTTAGATCCCCAAGTCCCACACATTGACAAGCCATGCGGAAATATTTATGACTATCACAACATGACCCGCTTAATTATGCTTGAGATTTTTAGAACATGACAAGCTTGTGATCTCGTATAAAGACAAAAACAAGCAGGAAAGGCAGATTTCTAAATTAAGGAATGCTCTGATGATCTTCATGAGCATGCACATAGAAATACATGTAATCAGTGACATTAAACATCCAAAAAACTCAGATAGTTATACCACCATATTACAAGTGACATAGAGCTCCCGTCACTTAAGTTTGTGTCTGGAATACCATAACAATCTTTTTTTTTTTGTGGTTTGNCAAAATGGAATCTAGCATCATGAATCGCTTCCAGGCAAGAAAAGCCCATAAATTTAACACCTTAGACACTGTTTCTAAATAAATGGAGAGCTAGCGGTAGTTGCCCTTGAATCCATGCCTCAAATACTTTCATCATTACAACCTAATTTTCCTTTCAACATACAGCCAACATAAAAGTTTAATGCTATTTATTGCATAAACAGTAGCAACTTACGCATGTTGACATAAATTATAGTTCCACAGGAAACCAGCAGGATTTGCAGCTTTAAATATTATATAGCGCACCTCATAGTCCGATAGTTCACCAGTTGACAAAAAACCCAAAACTAATTTTGAACACAAACCATTATACTAAGCATATTTGTGTATCCAGTGAAATTTAGCTGTTAATTGAGAGCCCTACAGTTATTATTCCTTCTCGAAAGTAGGAAAACAAACAGTTCCTCACATCCAAAAACTTATACCGCAACTAATGAAAACAAAATCCTCACCACAAAAGGTATCAGGAAGTTCATCAACAAGCCTGGGCTTCCATTCCTCAGAAATACACCTCGGAATCGTCATGGGATCTTGGACAGTCTTCTGGGTCAATTTTCCAGTGTGGTGGTCCAATATAGTCACATTGTGTTCCTTAGCCACAATTTCCATAGATGGTTGAGCCCCCACCACACTGTAGCGCCCCTAAGAAATTAAAACCAACTATGACGTTTAGCATCATTCTAATTATTGAATCAATAACCAAAAGATAAGTAAATAAGAAGCGGTAAAAATTAAAGTCAAATTTTTAAATCCCCTTACAACACTAGAACCCCGAAACCCAGGTTCAACGGATTCAAAGAGAAAGCTTGGAGCTTCACGATCGTCTTCTTTCACCAAACACCGGTAAGCCAGCACCGGAGTCAAATGATCAGAAAAAATGGTTTTCTGCAGCGGAATCAAGTTTCCGCTTTTAGAAGCTTCAATGAACCTGTCCTCATCCATAACTGAAACCAAAAAAAAAAAAAAGGAAAACAAAAATTTCTCTCACACATAAACATATCGTACGTAGCAAAGCAGCGCAGCTCCCAAGCAATAAGAAATGCTCAAAAAAAAATAAATTGAAGAACAAAACATTCGTGAAACTCAACTTGAAATAAGATTGTTATGAATTTTAAAACAGCATCAGTACAGACAATTTTACTTCTTTTTTTATTCAAAAAAAAGTAGAGACATTATTACTTGAGAGAGTGGGGGTATCTACTACCTAGAGATGAAGAGTGAAGACAGCGGCATTGTAGTGTACGGACACGAAGCGAAAGTGAAGAAGTTGAGCTCCGGCAAGAAAAGACGGCGAGTGGCAGAACTTTCCGGTGGGTGGCCGGAAACAACCGGTGTGAGATAGGTAACGACTGCATTTCTACAATAGCACAACACCAGAAAGAGATAAAAGTGAGGAGGAAGTGGTGAAATGGGGATTTTTGACGGTGACTATGAATTATGAAAATGTGGGATCGCTCATTTATACTAGTTGCCTCCGCATTCGAGGTTTTAAATGTCTGAAAACGTTTTAAATGTTCGCATTCAGAAAATGTCGTCTTCACTTAATATAGCTAATTAATAGGAGTATTATTTCTAGTATAATATAATAAATAATAATGATGTCTGATCTTAATTCTTATCTACAATATTTATTTCTCATACTTTTAACTTGGTTAGCACAATCAGAAAATAATCCTGATATCAAAATTGATATTATTATTTTTGGACACGTTTGGCTGATGTTTCGTTTCCAAGATGAAGAAAGCCGGTATAATCTTGTCCCTAATGTTACATGTAGTAGTTTTAGTGTTATTAGTTTTAGGATACGTGCGTTGAGCGTGTATTGTATTTTATTGAATATAAAATCTTAAGAGAGTTACATACATTTTATTTTCTAAATTATGTTTGTATTATAAAATGAAAGCTGAATAAAATTATAACTTTTTGAAATGACTTTTCTTTATCCTATTTAGCTAATTAATCAATAAAGGACAAAACTCTATCCCATAGAAGTTCTCCATCATCTCAATCAATATATTTGACGTAATAACTTTTTCAATTTTATAATTTTATATTTTTAATTTTCACAAGTTTTCGTTCTTCCTCTAAGTTAGAACATATAACCCTTGAAGATTTAAGAGTTAATCTAAAAAAGCTTGATAAGCTGTACAGTATTGAGTTCATTCTAAAAGATACAAATATGATCTATTTCTCGGAGAGCAAAATGCAAAGTCTATTCCTTAATCAATAGCTAGCAAATACTATATGAATTGTTGCAATAGATTAAAAAGAATATCGCGAAATAGAATCCATTAATCTACTCTTTCTCGTGATGGGGTACTTTTTTCTCTGTCCAAAACGTATAACCATGCATCCAAATTCTACAGCGGAATGCATCAAATGTTATTTTATATAAAGTCTTATCCGTAGTCTTTCATTTGCCCTTTATGTCCGTTAACACAGTATGAAAAAGAAATTTATATATATATATCTTATGATGATTGCATATAGCTTCTTACATAAATAAATAAATAAAAGACTAATGAAAATAAGATAATAAAAACTTAGTGTCTAAATTCATGCCCGTAGAACAAAAAAACAAAACCAAGGGATACAATAGCACAATATTACATCCTAGATCTGTTCTATTTTTAGCTACCCGATAAATAGAATAGAAAGGGACATAGGGTTGAGCAAGGAGACTTTTCTTTCCTGTAACTCCAGAATAGGAATACAAAGAACAACTAAATTATATGTCGCTAATGTTTACTCTCAACAAAATTATAAAACCTCTACCACGTAATTTCTTGGACAAAATCATCCAAATAAGGGAAAAAAATCATAATTTTAAAGCCCTAAATATTAGGAACTTTTACCTAGTTCAATAAAAAAAACTTAATAACTATAATTTTAATTGATTTTAAAGTTCTAAATATTAGGAAAGTAATTTAAATTATAGTTTTGTCATACATATTTGCCGCATCAACCGATTAAAATTGGTATACAAAAATGAATTTCATAAAATTGTAATGGACATTAAAGTGGTGCAAAATTAAATCTATAATAATTGGACTCGCAACGATGAACAATTTAGTTAAGTTTGTTATAATGCATTTACTAAAATGCCAAATATGCTGCAAAAAAATATTAAAAGTAAGTACATGTAAACTACAGTCGAAAAAATACACGTAAATTGCTAAGAATAATTGTCAACGGTGTTGATTTATAAGATACAAACGCTGAAATTCAAAGTGATAAATTTAAAGCTGATTTCAAATTTTTTAAAATATTAGTCAAAGTATTAAATGATAAAAATTCATCTAATATGAGAAAAATCCTTGGTAGGGAGCGCTTCCCCCCGAATAGGACCATACGCGGTGCGAATTCGAATATAGTCGGGCTCCAATATGAATAACGAACACCGAGTGAGAAAGCAAAAAATAAATAGTACAATTCGATATTGATAAAAGCTTGATATGTGAATATATATATATATATATGTGAATATATATATATATATATATATATATATATATATATATATTTNGGAGTGGAGAAGCAGAAACAGTAAATTTGAGCCCTTTCTTCTCTATTTGACCAAAGAGAAATTCATTTTATTTCATCTAAATTCCTTTTGTATCGATAATCATTATTGAAACATATAAACTTAGTGAACATTGACAGCTCAAGAGCCATAATCATTAAATATTTATTCCTAAACATTAGGAATAAGAATGGAAATAAGTCCTAAATATTAGGAAAATAATTAAAGATTTATTTTTAAATATAAGGAAAATAATTAAATAACTATTTTGTCTAGTGTAAAATCTGTTTCTGAAGGGTAAAAAATGCGAATGATATTTCGCTAAGGGATAAATATATGGGTCCAATATGAAATAATTTTACGAGTATAAAAAATCTAAAACAAGAACAACCTTAGATTCATCTTTTAAATTTTTATTAAATTTAAGAACAAGAATAACATTGCAAAATTTTATATTATACATCATATATCCCTTTTCTAATGAAATGAGCAATACAACCACAATATCTATATTATATATTTATATTTATTAGTAGGTATGACAATTATCATATTATTATTCTTGCATAACTTTGTTTATGACTATTTAGGACATGTTTGGTTTGATGGATTGGCAAACATAATCGCGGTATCCAAAAACCTGTATTATGTATCCAATGCTTGGTTGTCATTTTCAGTTATGGCATATATAATATCGGGAAAAAAAATCAGATTTACAATTTGTAATTAAAAATTAGTTATAATTTCTAAAATAATCAAAAAGTAGCCACTTTTTCATGTAAATATAAAATTCAAAAACACCTTAAAAATCTAGAAATATTTCAGTTCGATTTTTCTACATATGAGATTCCAATATAATATGCTGAAATTTCATAATGTGTTGGAGTTCCATTATGTTGGAAGTTTATATGCATGAGCTCTATAATCCAGCATATTATGCTAGAACTTTTCGTGTATTGGAGTTCTAACATAATATGCTGAAAATGCATACGCAAGAGCTTCATAATCCAACATATTATGTTGGAACTTTCCGTATTTCAGCAAAATATTGGCTATTTTTAATAACTTTGCAAATGCTGGATATTTTTCAATTACTAATCCGAAAAATAACTAGCCCGTACTTTTTTTACTATAATATCTCTGTATAACTTATGGAAGTATTCGCCGCGAAAGTTTTTGATCCTTTTGTTCCAAAAAGAATAGCCTCCCTCATATTTGCAGCATGAACATTGGACATATTAGTGAGCATATTCCATCTGCAGCGTCCATTCGCCACAACATCTGAACTATGTGGTATGATTCATCAATTACCCGATTGAATTATTTTGGGTCCAACCATTATCAATGGAATCGAGAATACTTCCAACACTACTAGAAATCCAGTCAAAACTTATCGCAGCCAACCGACCGATTTTAATCGGTCAAAAAATCGGGCAGAAAACTTATCAAAGTCGGTCAATTTTTCAAAATATTATATTTTTTAATTTTTTTTAGGAAACCGACCAACTTCGGTCGTTTGTTTTGGCACAAAATTGCGGAAAAACTATTTTTGCATCCCGCAAAATTTATTTTTCAAGGAACCGACCAACTTTAGTCAGGTTTTTATTTAAAATAAATAAAAATTAATATTCAAAAATCGACCGAAATCGAACGGTTATTTCGGTCGGCATCTTTATTTTTTTTTAAATAAAACCGACCGAAATTAGTCGGTTATTTTCGCACGAAAATGCAATTAAAGAATATAAATAAAATAAAATAAAGTCTTAAACCAAAATGAATCAATAGTCTAGTCGTAAAATAGTATCCTGCTACAGTACAGGTCCCGGTTCGATTTTCAAATGGTGCATTTTTTAACTACATAATTAAAAATATCGACCGATTTTGGCCAGAAAAAACTGATCGACTTCGTTCGATTGTTTTGACATTTTTTTTCTTTTTTGGTCATTTGTGAAATTTTATTGACCAACCAAAATTGATCAGAAAATACCTACTGAAGTCAGTCGGTTGGCTCTATCGACCGCACGATTACCGACCGCCACGAATCGATCAATTTTTATCAATTACCGACCAACATCAATCGATTTTGGTAGTTGATTCCCCCACCCCCCAAACCACTTTTTTTTAGTAGTGCAACGAGAACTATATTGAAAATTTAGTGTTGAGCTTGCAGAAAATACAGTTTCTTTGTGTGGTTTCCTTATGTTGGGCTCTTTTTGTTACTCTTTTTTATGGTTTTGAATAAGTTCTGTGTTTGGGGAAAAAGAAAGAAAAGTAAGTTGTGTCACAACTTTTTCCTAAAATTATTCTTCCATGACTTTGTTCTGAATTCATGTTAAACTCAGTAGCTATGGCGGATTACAATGTATAGATATTGATAAATGATGAAAAATGCATGTTTTGAGTAATGTTTGAATATTATTTCTTATGTGAGTTGCAGGAGATAACTATTACAACCCTAAATTCCCACCTCAGGATGTCGTGATGGCACCTACAAAGGCAGATCCAGGATTTCAGGAGGATGGGTGCACCACTATCCAACCACCGTTTGATTTGGTTCTCTAAAACTTACCTTGGAGAACTATCAATAATAGCATCATTATTTATGGTTACAAGTACTAAGCTCAATATATTAAAATTAAATAACTAATAAAAAAGAAAGTGATAAATGAAAAAAGGGGAAACTTGAAATTGAAAAGATTCAAAATGATTTAAATTTTATTTTTTTATAGTTTTTGAAACTCAATGATTGAACTAAAAAATAGAATGAAAAAAACACAGAAAAGAATCCAATAAAAATAAAAAAATTATTCAAGGATATATCAAAGGGTGAACCCAAAAATATAAGAATACATGGAAAAAAAAAAGAAAAAAAAAAGAAAGATAGGGCATGAGATTTGAACAGAACAGAAAAGAAAAGAACGAAAAAGAGAAATAGAAAAGGAAATAGAAAA